AGTATGTATTTTAAACAAAAATGTGATTAGGTACTAAAAAAGTGATAATTAGGGTTGCCAAAATGGATCGACTCAGACCGAAAGATGAGCCGGGCATAGATGTTTGGCCCGAAAAAGACTCGTACGGCCCGACTCGATAAAAATGAGGCCTAAAAAATGACTCGATCATCGGCCCAACTCGAAAACGGCAACCCTAGCAATAATATATTTAGTGGTTTAGACTAGAGCGAAAGGACTGGAAGCGTCACACAAGAATCTCGAAAAGTGCCAATCTTGATAACTGAAATTTCTGTTCGAAATCTCGTCTCGGTTCTATCTCTATTTAGTTTTGATCCTCCTTTTTATAATACAAGAGACGGGGAGAAATTCCTCAATTTTTGGGCAATTTTGAAAACTTTATTTTTAACTATTCAAAATTTCCAAGTCTTAATTTTTAATTTTAAACTTAAAAAAGAATTAAAGAATGAAAAAATAAATAATTTTTAAAAATAATTTAGTAAAATTATTCAGTGACAACACGATTATGCAAAAAAACGTAAAAATAGAGTTGAAAAGTAGACTCCATATATTTACTTACGAGAATAAAATAATATTTATTATTACTATTTTTGGACAAAAAAGATGGAAAAAAAGAAAAATAAATGCTAGGTCATTCAAAGCACAGACCGAGAAAATTGAAAAGAGTTGGTCAAACAAAAGGTCATATTAAATATTTGTTTTGAGGACCTCCCCCCTACACATTACCAAAATGGGAGGTAAAGAAGAGCCTCAATCTGACCCCCAAAATCCTTTAGATTTCCAAACGGCTATGCCCAAACTTTTATACATGCCTAAAAAGTTTAAAAAATTTTTCTAATAAGTGAATAGACGGTAAGTCGGAGCGTGTCTTGTGCCGCCATGAGATATACCTAGGAATTTGCAGAAAAAATGGTAGGATATTTCCTAGTAGGAAATATCCTAGCATTTTTTTCTGCAAATAAATTTTAGGTAAGATGACCTATGTAGCATATAATATAATAATTTCTTTTCTCCCATCCTAAAACGAAAAGAATTTTTTAAAAAATAATTTTGGTTGAATCAAGAAAGTGTAATACTAATAAATAAATATTTTATATTATTTTTCGCAAAAACAGGACAATCTGCAAAACAAAAAATTTAAAAATAATCGGATTCAAAAATACCAAAAAGTGTAGTTAAAAATATGTAAAGTCAAAAAATAGAAAAAAATTGAGGGAAAAATTAAAATTTTTGGCAATAAAATTAGTACATCTAAATTTTAGAGAAGCACGCCAAAAGAGAGGAATTTTCTATTTTCCTTCGTAAATCGCCTCAGATTCTGATCCGATTATGACTAGTCGAACTTAAACCGAAAACTGAGTGTCTAAACAGGCCGTAAACAAAAACCCAGGGTACCAGTTAAGGTCGCCAACAACTAGATTAGGAATTTGGAAAATGCCGGATCCGGTTTAAGGATTTTTAAATTTATTTTTATCCGGACCGGATTTTCCGGATCAAAATCCGGTTTTTATCAAAATACCCGGATTCCTGACTATCTGCATCCGGAAAATAAGCATCCGGTCCGGATCCAAACTCTACCAACAACTCTAGTCTTAAAACGAAAGGTGAAATGAAGAAAACAAAATTAAATTAAAAAACGAAAGAGGAAACACAAAATACTAAAAAAGGGTTTAAACAAAACATAATAAATTTGTGAATAAAATTAAAGATCTTATTGGGAGTTGGAAACAAAATTTATTAGAAACATTAAACAATCACTTTTCTTAATCTTTTGGTTTGATAAAGACTTTTTTGTTTGTTTAATGATAAGAAAAGAGGAAAATAATTTTTTAATAAAAAAATTTTTTTGAATTGGATTTTTAAAAATCAAAAATGGAAGAAAAAATAGGTAGGGGAAATTAGTTTTTAAGAATAAATTTAATGAATAATTTTTTTGAATTTTTATGAGATGTCGTTGAACACAATAAAAAATAGAATTTTACAAAACTAAAAAAATATAGGCTAACGAGTATTAAATAAAAAAATAAAAAAGAGAGAGAGATTGAATTGTATAGATAAAAAAATAAAAATAAAATAAAGAAGCCGACGACCGATTAAAAACAAGTAAAAGTTTCTCCCTTTTTCTTCAAAGCATTTAGGTAGTTGGTGTATGCTTTATTTTACTTTTAAATATCGCTTTTCATTTTTTAGTGATTATTGAGAGGGGATTAATAGGTAAATTTAAGAGTATTTTTTGGAAACTTTATAAATTTAATTGAGGAAAGCTATTAGTCGAAGAAAAAAGATTGAGAAAAAATTGTATGTTGAAGCAACAAAGGAAATATTAAAAATCAGAAGCTGAAGCAAGAAATTTGAAAACAAAGAGAAAAATTGTAACAAAAAGGGTATGTGACTCAAAAGAATTTTTTGAAGAAAAAAATTTCAATTTTGGAGCAAACCCCAAATAAATCCCCAAATCCAAATAAATACTCAAATAAACTCAATTTTTACAGATAATATCAGTATAAACAAGTCAAACAGCTTGTAAAATGAAGCAAGCAAGTTGAAGGTGGTAAAGGGGAAGAATAGAAGAGAAAAGTAAAAATAAATAAAAGTAAACCAAGTGGAAAGCTTGTTTATAAGTGATTGTTTGTGTTTGGAATTGAAAAGAAAGGGAAAAAAAGTTGGTCTTATTTAATATCACTTTTTACGTTTACACAAGCTTAACAGTGGAACGAAGATTAATTGAGAAAATAAAATTATTTTTAAAAAAAGAATAAAATAATTATTTGTTGACCGGAAAGAATTGTGGTGAATTTAGTAATAGACGCTATCAACCGGAAATTATTATATTCTGGTCCGGAAAAGGTTAAATTTGATAGAATTAGACGGAATTTAAAAATATTAACCGGAAAATTTATTTTCTAACATTTTTCCGGAAAATCTACAATTTTTATTTTAATGTTGGAAATAGAATAAAATAAAAATAGAACCAAAAAATATTTTTAAAAAATAAAAATGTTGCCATGGAAATATTTTTAGTGAATTAAAATGTTGAAAAAATTATTTTTAGTAGTTAAAAATCGAAAATAATTGGAAAAATAGTAAAAACCCGTCAAAATCAGCATTATACAAAAAATGAAAAATTTAACCCGGTTTTTATCAATTTTAAATACCCCAAAAATAGTAATTTATTTAATTATAAATACAACCCTTTTACTTTCTTCAAATAAAAATTAATTGAAAAATAAATTCCCCACCTTTAATAGATCAATTTCCGTTTTTCTCTCGCTCAGTAAACGGTCCACAGATTTTGTTGGCTAATGAAGCAAAAATAAAATGGAAATTGATTTTAAATAAATATTTTGAATAGTATTTTATTCTTTTGTTTATTTGTTAAGCTAAAATTTAGAAAAATTGATTGAGAAAAAAGTAAATAAATAAATAGAGAGGGTAACCCCCTTGTACTCTTTTTTTGTTCAAATTTTTGGGAAAAACAATTAAAATTTAAATAATAAAATAATCTAAATTGTTTAAACTCAAAATAGGAAGGAAAGGATGGAATAAGCTTTATAGATTTTTATTAAGTGAAATATTTTTAGAAGAAATTTTTAAAAATAATTCTTTTTCTGGGAGTAATTTCTAGACTTTCTTATATTTTTAAAACAAAATTTATTTTATAAAATAGTGGGTCTATGCTCTGTGGGATTTCGCTCAGGAGCCGACTCCGTGCGGAGCTAAGATTTTAAAAAAAGGCTGGGGAACCAAAAATATCAAATAGTCTTTAATACAGCCTCTCCAAATTTAACTTTTAAAAAGCCAAAAAACAATTTTCTTAATAAAAATACAAAAATCTCTCTCGTTTTATTTCAAAAATAAAAATAGATTAAAGACTAATATCTAAAATAAAAAAAATAAAAGTATAAAAATGAGAGCATTTTTAAAATCTCCGAAAATGGTTTTGAGAGGTTCTATTCGATTAATATATTGAGTGTATAAAATTGAAGAAAAATATTTTTTTGATAGAAATTGGGAGGAATGTGTGTGTAAATAAAAAAGAAAATAAATGAATCATCAATAATTTCTCTTAAAAAAATTTTTTTTGGGTGTTTCATGAAAAATAAAAATATATTTTTAATGATGATAAAAAATAAAAACGTAGAATTAAAAATTTAATCAGGTAAAAAATAATAAATGAAAATTAAGAAGCTTTAGGGGTATATTAGTCATTTAGAAATGATAGTCAAAGATAAATTTTCATTTATTTTTGTCCCTCTTTTTGACCACTACTGTATATTTTGAGTGTAACAGAATTGAGGGTGACCGAGTCGTAAATTTCACAATTTTTTCAGAAAAAAATTTCTCGTAATTTATTCAAAAATTTTTCTTTTAAAAATTTCTCCCAGGAACCATATTTGACGAAAATCTAAAATCGGAGGGTCTAAAACCAGGGGGTCGGTTTATTAAAGGGGGCTATTGTACTTCCCAAAATATTGTACTTTCTGAAACTCCTTCAGCTCCTGGATACCATTTTCAAGGAGTACACTATAATTAGGTCCGACTGTAGATATTATTTTTTTAGAATTATGGGGGCGCAAATGTCGCGGCGCAAAAGTCATGATACCCACAAATCAACAGGGTTTCCACAAATATTTTTACAAACAATTTTAAAAAAAGGTATTTATTAGAGATTTCTCTAATTTCTTTAAATATTTAGATTGTAAAAATAAAATAAAAATTCATCAAAAATTACAAAAATGTTTTTATTCTAAAAAAATGATAAACATAGCAAATGGAAATATTTAAATTTTGTTTTATTTTTAAATAACAGAAGAATATTTTTAAAAATTAAATTTTAATCAAAATTTTAATCTTAACCACAAAAAATTTAATTTTGGATTTTTTATAAAATGAAAAAAACTGAAACAAATATTTTGGTAAAAGACATTTGCGGACAGAAAATTGCGGACTATCTGAAAAACATTTTTTTAATTTTTTAGGTTTATAAAATAGAAAATCTTTAAACAACCAATTTAGGTAATTTCTTATCAAAGACCCAATCAATGTCCACAAGGTTTCTAAAAAATCAGTTTTGGCAAATATTTCAAGATGTCCACAAATTTCTGTTCGCCAAAAATATTTCAGCCCCCTGCCCCACATTTTTCTTTCTCTTTTATCTTTAACTCACAACTCCAAAACGTTTTATACGAGCTTCCTTTTTGGTTTCCGTATCCTTAAAAAATAAAAATTTTTTAAAATCAATTTACTTGTAATTTTTTTTAAAAAATTGAGAGAAAAAGTTTAGCCCCGGGCAGGCATCGATCCAATTTGGAAGTTATTCTACTGGGCTCTACCTTTATGTTTTCATATCCTTGCCTATTGAACATTTTAAAAGCTAACCAGCTAAATCTCACTTATTCCTTACAATCTTAAATTAGAACAGAAATCTTATGTAAACGGATTCTTATCCCAAAATTAAAGGTGAAAAGATTTTTAAGGGCAGATAAATGGATAAAATTTCCAGTTCCAAACTTTAAAAAAATTAACTAAAAAACTAACCCCACTCCCAATAACTTTTCCAAATCGTTTTTCTCTTTTAGCCAAAATTTCACTTTGTTCAGATTCAGAAGCACCACCTCTTTTCAATGGCAACCCAAAACGTTCAGCACGTTTTAACATTTTACTGTCTTCATCTGTTGTTTTTCTTTTCTCATCGGTTATACCAAAACTTTAAAAATTATTTTTTTTATATTTAATTTTAAAAAATTAAAAAAAACCGAGCAGCTCTTTTCTCTTTAGCCTCTTCTTCATCCTTTTTTGTTAGAATCTTCTCGCCTTCCTAGAAAAAATATAAAAGAATTTAGCTAAAGAATTTAAAAAAATTAATTTTTGCGAAGATGAGACTGAAAAAAAGATATATAAAAAATGTGGATTTTGCTTGTTTCTCAATTATTTTCAAAGTTTTGCCTTATTTTCTGCTCACTTTTTACCCATTCTATTTAATTATCATAGATATCAAAAGCGACTCCTGAGAATTTTTTAGGAAGAGTTGGCTAGTAATACTATAATTTTTTGCAAGAAAAAATTATTTTTGAGAGTTATCCACATATTTTTAGATGGTTAATTGTAAGAAATCATAATCCTCTTTGAGCAGAAAATTTTTTTATTTTTATTGCCCTCCCGTTTTGTGTTTGGGGAATAAAAATTTCCCGTCGAACAAGACAAGACATATTTTCTCGGGTTTAGCAAATTTTGTCGATTTAAACCTTAAAATTAAAAACCTTATTTCCCGAAAACGATCCAAATCTTTTCTCTCTTTTAGCCAATATATCGTCAGATTCCGACTCAGAAACTCGTCGCTTTACAGGCAACCCAACACGTTCAGCTAATTTTAACATTTTCACATCTTCATCGGTTGTTCCCTTCCTTTTTGTTTGATCCTCACTTAAAAAATAATTTTCAAAAAAAATTTTTTTAATAAAAAAACCGAGTAATTAGTTTTCCCTTTATTTCTTCCTCCTTTTTATCCTCATCAGTTTTATTTGCTCCCTTCTCTTCATCATTATTTTTGATTGATTCATCGCTGTTATCGCAACTAAAAAAGTATTACACAACTGAAAATAACCCACAAAACTTAATAGAATAAAGCCTTGCCCGAGAAAAATAAATATTCCAAAACTCCCCCTTCTTTTCTTTAAAAAATTAAAAACAAAAAAACCTCGCAGGTTGTTTTTCCTTTCCCTCTTCAATATCTTCATTTGCAGTAGTAGAACTGTGTGTATCCTTTTCATCATCCAATCCCAAAACTTCATCCATATTAACACCAGAAAGGTCAATACTTTCACCACCAGGCCCCTCTTCAAGTAATTTCTCTTCTGCCATTAAGGAATCAAAAAGGCGAGTAACTAATTCAGATTTTGGTCCAGAGGCTGGCAATTTACGACTTTTGAGTTTTTCACGAATTTGAGCCACCTAAATAAAAAAAAGCGATAATTGGAGAAATATTAAATATATTTTGAAGGATTTAGAATCCTAACGTTCAGAATTAGCCAAAAGATAAAACACAAACCGTCAGCTTTTCAAGTTCTTCCTTTGATGCCATTAATAAAGTCAATGAAAGCAAATAAGCTAAATTTTTAAATTTAAAACATATTTAAAATTGTTTAAAATAATGGTAAGAATATGCAACTGTAAAATACAAAAATAATTTGTAAATAAAATTTTATTTTTCAAAATTCAATATACTAAAACAATAAATAAATACTAACAATAAATTAATTCCTTATCGTTCCAGAATCAACGACACTCCATTTTATAATGATAATTTTTATTTGCCATTTTAGCCCCGCCAGAGTTATAGTTAAGATAAACATTCTTCCTATTGTTTAAAAATTTAAGCAAATTTGGTTGAATATCTTCTTTTTTAATTTCTAAGAAATTTTTAATAAACTCGAAGATTTATTCTTTATTACTTTGAAAAGTTCCTGTAGCAAAGTCTTGACCATACGTAAATTTATGGAACCTAAATAAGTGAAAAAAATTATTTTAAAATCAAGCTAGTAAGAGAAAATTTAATTTAATAACTCACGATTCACTCATTTTAAATTGCTTTTTTGCTTGATTTCTTGCATCCTCTCCATCCATACCAAGAGTATCATAATGGGGAGATTGTTCAATAGCATAGTAACATAATCGTTTTGTTGCTTTATGGGTTAAGATACACACATCAAGTTCAAGAAAAAGCAGTTTAACGGCATAAGACGCGGAAAGCCAGAGTTTACTTGATGATTGAATCCAATCGTCCTTGTTGAAATATGTATCAGAAGCAGTGACAAATCTGGGGGGATCATATTGCAAATACTCCTATAATAGAAAAGATGAATATGGGTCATGAGAACATCGTTTTTAATGCTAATATGAACCCGGAAATGTCTTAAATAATTTTGTTAGAAATGAAAAATTAACAAAAATGTCGCTTTTATATGTTAAATCTGCGGGATAGACCGCAAAAACAAATAAACTACACAAGAGCCGATTTCAATAATTTGTCAATATATTCAAGTTTGTAAATAAAAAATTACCCCCGGTGCCATAATTCGAGCCCTTTTAGAAGTAACAATAGGCGCAACAGGAGCGTTAGAATGTGTTCTTTTCAAAACATTGGAAAGATTGATGATCTTGCTTAAAATTAATATTTTAGAGTATTTTTATATTTGAAATAACCTTGATGACGGTCCACCTTGTTCGTTTGCCATTCTTTTCAAAAATTTAAACCGACAAAAAATTTAACTGTTTTAGAATCAACTGAAATAATAAAAATTTTAAAAAATATAATATTAAAAAACAATATAAAAACGTAAAGAAACGTTAAGAAAAAAATTCGTTAAAAAGCCATTATTCATTTTTATATAAAATTATATTTGAGATAAATCGAATCAAATAGAGAAATAAAATATAATTGACAGTTTCGAAAATTTCATACTATAACGATAAATTTTTACAATATTTAAAACATATAATCGAAATAATACGAAACCGTCAATTAAAGATTATCTGAAAATATATTTTAAAGTAAATATAAATTTGAGCAAATAAATTCGAAAATAAAATTCGTTCAAATCACCAACATTCAATGGTATAATAATACTTCTCATTTCCTAACTTAACAGTACCGAAGCTACATTTAAAATTAATATATTTCCAATTTTTTAAAAACTTCATCAAATTCTTTTTGATCTTGTCATAATCTTTAATCTTCATAAAATTCTGAACAAACTCAACAACATCTTCTTTGTTAGCTTCATAAGTCCACTTTTTAATTTTAGAGCCATAATTATAACACTCAAGCCTGAATAAAAGAAAAATTTTTAAAAGCATTTTGCATTTAAAATTGACAAGAAAAAATTTTTGTTAGCAAAAATTATAACTGACTCTATTGCTGCCGAAAATTGATCTTTTGCTAATTGCCTTGCCATAGAACCTTCAATGCCAGGTTGATCATAAACTGTAGATTTATTTATCGCATAATAACACAAATCTTCGAGACCATTCATAGACGTAATGTTAACATTTATTTTGAGAAACAAAATTTTTACAGCATACGAGGCAGCCTTCCACAATTCACGTGATGATTGTATCAAATCTTTTTTATCGTAGTAATATTCAGCAATTTTAAGAAACGAAAAAGGGTCGCATTCGTCCTAAAATTATGAAGATTAATAATGAGTCATTTGTTTTTTTGACTCTATGCGAACACAAAAACAGGTATTTAACTTAAACAATGACTGATCCTAAATCGAAGATCCAACTAAACTCATGAATATTTTTTAAAATAAAAAAACCCAATGTGTTAAGTTTATTAAAAAGAACAAAAATATACTCCAATTGGAAGAATTTTCGGCCGCTTCTCAAAAAAAAATATCGCATCAGAAGTAGACCTCTTGAGGGTTCTTTTCCTGTCACTACTTTCAGTTTTTGATGAACATCCAGTTTTTGACGGACTTAAAATTGAATTTAAAAAATTTTTATTTAAAACTAACCTAAATGACGGTTCAAATTGTTCTTTTCCCATCCTTTTCAAAAATTAAACCAACAAAAAATTTAACTGTTTTAGAATCAACTAAAATAATAAAATTTTAAAAAATATAATATTAAAAAACAATATAAAAACGTAAAGAAACGTTAAGAAAAAAATTCGTTAAAAAGCCATTATTCATTTTTATATAAAATTATATTTGAGATAACTCGAATCAAATAGAGAATAAAATATAATTGACAGTTTCGAAAACCTTCATAACATGTAACGATACAAAATTTTAAAATAATGAGAAGAATACGAAACTGCCAATTAAAGACTATTTAAATATTTTTAAAAGCAAATATAAACTTGAGCAAATCACCAACATTCAATGGTATAATAATACTTCTCATTTCCTAACTTAACAGCACCAAAGCTACATTTAAAATTAATATATTTCCAATTTTTTAAAAACTTCATTAAATTCTTTCTGATCTTGTCATAATCTTTAATTTTCATAAAATTCTGAACAAATTCAACCACATCTTCTTTGTATTCCTCATAAGTCCATTTACTAATTTTAGTTGCACAATTGAACCACTCAAGCCTGAATAAAATAAATTTTTTTAAAATCTTCATAAAATTTTGAACGAACTCAACAATCTGCTTTTTAAATTGACAAAAAATGTTTAAAAAAATTATAACTGACTCTATTGCTGACGAAAATTGATCTTTCGCTAATTGTCTTGCCATAAAAATTTTAGTCTCGATTTCATCATAAACTGTAGATTTATTTATCGCATAATAACACAAATCTTCGAGACCATTCATAGATGTAATGTTAACATTTATTTTGAGAAACAAAATTTTTACAGCATACGAGGCAGCCTTCCACAATTCACGTGATGATTGTATCAAATCGTTTTTATCGTAGTAATATTCAGCATTTTAAGATAGGAAAGAGGGTCGCATTCGTCCTAAAATTCGTGTCGCGACACTTAGGGACCCGACTTTTAGGGACCCGACACTTAGGGACCCGACAATTGGGGACGAAATAAAATTTAAAAAAAAATTGAAAATCTACCTAAAGCAGGTTTTTAATACATAGTCGGATATGGATAAAACATGGTCATTGACTCAGCTCGATGTCTGAGTCGAATGAGGGTGAAAACCAAGCGCGGGAGTTAACGACCAAGCGCGGGAGTCAACAGCCCGTGCTTGATCGTTAACTCCCGTGCTTGACTCCCTTGACATTTGACTCCCGCACTTGGTTTTCACGGTCATTCGACTCAGACATCGAGCTGAGTCAATGACCATGTTTTATCCATATCCGACTATGTATTAAAGACCTGCTTTAGGTAGATTTTCAATTTTTTTTTAAATTTTATTTCGTCCCCAAATGTCGGGTCCCCAATAGTCGGGTCCCTAAGTGTCGGGTCCCCAAAAGTCGGGTCCCCAAAAGTCGTATCCCCAAAAGTCGTCCCCAACTGTCGGGTCCCCAAAAGTCTGATCCCCAAATGTCGGATAGCCCTAAAATTATGAGGATTAATGAGTCATTTGTTTCTGACCCTATGCGAACACAAAAACAGGTATTTAACTTAAACAATTAATGCTGTAAAAAACGAGTGACTAAGCCTAAAGCGAAAATCCTACTAACAATAAACTCACGAATATTTTTTAAAATTAAGAACCCCAATGTTAAAAATCTATTTTAAAAAATATACTCCAATTGGAAGAATTTTCGGCCGCTTCTCAAAAAGAAATATCGCATCAGAGGTAGATCTCTTAAGAGTTCTTTTCCTGTCACTACTTTCAGTTTTCGACGAACTTAAAATTTAATTTAAAAAAATTTTTATTTAAAACTAACCTAAATGACGGTTCAAATTGTTCTTTTCCCATTCTTTTAAAATTTTGAACAAACAAACAACATTGAATTAACTGTATTTGAAATTAGACTGAAACGAAGAAAATTAAAAACATTAAAAAATATTGTGTATAAAAACGTCAAGAAACGTTAGGAAAAAGGTGGATTAAAGAGATTCTAATTTATTTTTAATTTGAAATTTATAAAAACCAATAATGAACCTCAACTTTAAATATTCTCCATTTGTGTTCTAGTTCAAAAAATGTATCTAAATCGAAATGCATCTCCTCTAATTCTGAGAGTATTTAAATTCGAGGTCAGAATATATTTAAAAAAAACATCATTTGAATTTAAATTTAATAATTCGGTTCTTCTTTAACATAAAAAGGATTCGAAAGTCCTTGTAAACATTTTTTCTTTGTACAAAAATAACCAACTCTATACATTCCACAATTTAAAGAAGGAAATTCAATACAATATTTTCCTTGATCATCTAAAGGACAAGTTAATAAATAAACCCAATTTATTGGTTTATTAATAATTTCAATATTTGTTGAATATAAACCAATCCAATCAAGATTTGATGAATAGACAGTCCAAAATTGTGTTGGAATTGTTAAGCGACAAAATAGAGGAATTAATTGTTCCCATCTAATTAAAAAATAAAAAATGTTTTTGAATTTTTATAAAAAAAATTTAAATTGGTCCGAGTCTGGAGCTATCAGTTGACTTATTTTTTTGAGATGTTCTGACATGAGACTCCTTTTTATTTACAAATTGATTTAGAACAGACTAAAAATCTACGGATTGTCCCAGACCTTGCCTCAGAATGAAGATTCAAAAAGAGAATAATGAGTTAGTTCACAGAATCCAAAGATAAATTAAAAATGAGGGGAGAAGGAAAATACCAAAGAGAAAAGGTAAAATAAAGAAATCCTCAACAAAAAAATTCAAAAAATTTTTCCAAAATGTTTTAGTTTTGATAGTCAGGTAGAGAAAACCTTTGCCCAAAATAAATTTTAAAAAATTTCTAAACCTCGGTATATGTTCAAAATAACAAGGCCAAACAGCCAATTCAGCTTTAGTCAAAATATTTATTGAAGAATTAATTCCAAGAGTAAATTTTGCAGAAACGGGAAAATGATCAGATAAAGTAATTCGACGACAAGAACGATATTGTTTAATTAAAAGTGAAGAATTGCTATTTTTGTTACTTTTAAATAGTATTCTGTCACACCATGAAGGAATTCTTTGTTGATCAAATTTGCCTGAACCGACCTTTAAAAAATTTTTTTGGAAAATATTTTGCTAAAAAATGTTAGGAAAATAAAATCTGAGGCGGACGTTTTTATTTTCATTTTTTGCATAAATTAAAAAAAAGTTAACAAAGGGTTATTCGCACTTAAAATATTAATTTCTCATTTTTTCGATATAATTTTGAGCAATTGACGACCTATTGCAAATTCATGATTTTTCTGTTACGGGGCCATTTGCTCTATTGAATAGAAGCAAAACTAAAAAATACAGTCAGAGTATCCTAAGTGTAAAAATTAGATTTTCTAAAAAAACCAAGCCGCAAAAATATAAACTTGAGCAAAAATATAAGCTCAAGAAACGAGCACCCCAAAATTTAACAATTTACAAAATAAAACAAAACCATTATTCTATAAGTTGGCTTAAATCTAATAATTCCTTCTTCAAAATCTTGAAAAACTTTTTTCAATCTTTTTGCTTTTATTAGTTGATCATGGGAATTTGCAATATTTGTAAGCATATCAACATCATCTAATTTGTTTAAAGCATATAATAATTGTTGAGAATCAGAAAAATCTTCAACACGGAAATTGAAATCGCCTAACCAAATAATGTGCCTTTAAAAAATTTTTTAAAGAAAAAATATTCTTATTTTGTAAAAACAAAGAAATTACTCCCATGGACTAATGTCAAAACACAAATTTGTCATTTCTTAGTACCATTTGATAAAAGCACTCTTAACTTACTAATACGAAATAGCAAAATGACTGGACAAGTTTAAACGAGTCCAAATTACTTTAAAATAACCAGAAAATTGAGGTGGATGGTTTATTTAGAACAAGGCTATTTTCAAAACATTTGCATAAACCTAAAAAATTGAAGTTAAAAAAATCTCCAAACTTTTTTACACCATTTTGGTGGAAAATCTAAAGGGAATTTAATTTACAACCCAAAAGTTTAAATTAAAATAAAAAAATATACTTTTTGGGACAGTCAATTTCAGGAAATGTACAATTTAGAGATTGCTTATATTGATTAATTCTATCACGCAAAAATTTTTCTTGAGCAAAGAAATGACTAGCAATAAAAACAATTGAAATACCAGAGCGAAATAATAACCGAGAAGATATTGTGCCTTTATATCCAATTGTGCCAAATAAACTGCTTCTACACCAACGCTCATCGATAAGGTCAAGCTGAAAAAATTCTTTTAAAGAATGGAAACTAAAAGATTATCAAATAAATTGGAGCTAAAAGGATTCGAACCTGCTCAATATCAACACAAAACAACGAATTAACCAACTTAACCAAAGTAAAGTAATTCGCTTTAACTGCTAAAATAGAACCCCATGGGTTATCTTTGCATCATTCTCAACAGAATCCATTCATTAAAGCTACTTTCTATCTTAAGACATAAATAGTTCCTGAACCCATTAATCTAGTCTGCAGAAAATGATCTGTTTATTGTTAGTCTAAAGTCCCATTCAGGGAACGTTAAATGACCCAAGCACTTGACAATAACAATTTATTAGTACGCCTCATAGAAATAGAGCCTTTTAACGGAGCCTGAATAGAATAAGGTAATCACGAAAAAGGAGATATTCCAATTTTATTTAGAAAACTGGTTGAAGAAGTGAATTGATGATGGAAAGAATGAAAGCTTTAGACGACCCCTAACTTTACAAAAAATATTAACCATTTGTAGCAAATCCACTCTTAAATAAATCAACAACATATTCGAAGCCAAACAAATTTTATTAACCAAAGAAAAACTTTTCTCCCTCATCCAATTAGTTAATTGTTCACACCAAGTATTTGAAGTTGTTTTTAACATTTCTGCATGAGGAACTTCCTAAATTTTTAAACTTTTTATTTTAAATTTAAGCAAAAAACCTGCAACGCAAAACAAACGATTTGAGAATCATTTAATTCTTCAAAGTCCAGCCAACACTTAAAAAAGCAAAATTTTTTTTATAAAATTTATTTAAAATATTTACAATAATATCATCCTGTAAAGGCTTTTGTTTATTTACATTATAGGTTATTGCTGCAATTTTAAATTCCATCTAAAAGGGAATTCATTGAAAAATTTTTTTTTGAAATTCTAGAAAATTAAAAACTCTCACAAAATTACTCTAACAAAATTTTAACTTTTTTTAGTTATATTTCCTTCCTTTTTTCCTCTAAATTCTCCATTACTTCACACATCTCTAGTCAATCAAAAATACTGACAGACAAAACAATACTCAACAAAAACGATACAACGGGCAAAATTTTACAAAACGACAAGGATAACATGTGACAGAATGTTATTTATTGTGCTGTGATCCATTTTGTCAAGTACCAATTTGGTTGGTGCCATAAAAGTCGCTACACTTCTTAATTATTTTTCTCTTCTTTTTTTCTCTAATTTCTTTTATTTGCAAACTCTCTACTCTTTTTGTTCTTTAGTTTGTTTTAAAAAATTTTTATAAACATTATGCCAAATTCTATGCATTTTTAAATTAAAAATGCTCAAGATAAATAATTCCCCTTAAGATAATTCCCACTACACTCGCTCAAAGGAGTTATTAATAGTTGTTATCTTCACTCGTATATTAAATGTTCTTTTATTCTCATTTTATAGGTTAAATGAATTCAGCGATTATAATTGATATTTCTGAGAATGGAGCAAGTTTAGATGATGACAAACAAAAATGTAAAAATGATGTAAATGATGTTAAAAAGTATTATAATGATGATATTGTAAGATTCTACCATGACAGCAAGAATCCGTCACCTCTTTCAATTCAGCTACAAAAAGAGAATGTGAGTTTATTTAAATGTAGTCGAAAAATAAATTTTTGTATTTTCTCCGAAAATGCAACAGAATAACTAGGAGGGCACCATTTTCGACTTTTTTGGAGTTTCGCCTTTCGCTTTTTAAAATAAGTTTCAGAAGGCACACCAAAGATTTGCTTTGGGTATGCTTTCATGCTTCATGACCTCTTTTATATTTCCTAGGTTTTTTCACTATCCAGTCATAAACAAAATTGCTGCAGATAGGAATATGTAGTATATTGACATTGACCCCATTTTCTCATCAGATAAGAAATCCTTTCCCTTACGGGGTATAGAAAGAAGTTACGGTTATGTTGTTTTGCTCGTACGAGTGGTGGACGCATTGTGTTATTTGCGTTAAATTTTGGCCTTGCGTTGTGTTTTGCGTCTTGCGTTTTTTGAGATTGTCTCTTGCGCCCACCCATGGCTCGTACTAATAAATTAAAAAATTAAAATCAATTTTAGGCTAGAAATCATGAAATTAATATACTCAGAAAAATGAGCAAAAACTTTCTTAGTGGATATGATAAACAAAATGCAATCTATGCCTTAACTTTATTTGTTAAAAGAAGATTATTAATTGTTAATTCAAGTAATGTTAGTGAAAAAATTACGGTAATTTTTAGTTAAATTTGAGAGAAAATTAAAAAAAATTTAAAAATTAAATTTATTAATTTAAGTATCCAAATTGTATAAAAAATGTATTATACGAGGCAGTTTTGGAAATTACCATTCCTATTGCTAAAATACGCTCAAAGAAATATTGTGTTTGTTTAATTAAAATATAATTTTTTTCTAAATAAAATAATTTTTAAGGCAGAATCAAGAACTTCAAATGATGCCGAATTGTCTGTTGCTTTAATTGTTTTGGAAGAATTGTTCAAATTTGATATTATTAAAGAAGCTTCTATTGAATTATATTGTAAGGGAAGGAAGGTGTGTTTAAAAATGTAAAAATAATTTGGTACTCTTTGGATATACCGTCCTCTACCTAGTTTGTGTCTCAATTATTTTTTCCCTCTTCATGCGAATCATTTGTTATCCTTGGGCAATATAGGTGAAAATGCAGTCGTAAAAATGTTATATTGCTTGACCAAATATTTATAAACAAAAATGAATAAAAAGAGAATAACTGATACTGAAACTAGGAGGGGCAGTATATCTAAAAAGTACCAACAATTTTAAGGGTATTTTTAAAAATCAGAATTTTGAACCTGAATAATTTCGGAAAATTAAAATTATAAAGCAGAATGATCCTAAAAAATCAACCAGATAATTTCAGAAAATCAGAATTTTAAATTTTCAGAAATTTTTAAACCCAGCACTTTCACTTAGCAAAGAAATGAGATTTTTACTTGAAGATGGAACTGATAATACATTTTTATCAAAAATGAATAAATTAGAAAAATTATATTCAAAATCCTCAATAAATTGTAACGATACCTCAATTATTCTTTCAAACGAAAAATGTGTTAAAAATTATTCCCAAAATTCACAAGTAGAAGAAATAATTAAATTTTAGAACAAAAATAATTTTAAAATTGTCTTTGAATTCAATAAATTAAAAATTTTAGCTTCCTAAATTGTCTCTAAAGTTTTATTATTTTTCCTGTATTTCTTCATATTTTCCAAATTTGTTATTTTTTTGAATATTATAATATTGTTAACATTTAAAAGTTAAATAAAGAATTGTCTTCTAAAGCAGAATTTGTTTTCTATTCTAAATTTGGGATTTTCAAGTTTTTAAAAATTGTTTAGGTTTCTATCTGTAGGTTATTGAAGTCGTGCTGAATCCTGATCTTATATTCCTCCCTCAGTTTGGATTGTCAGTTGAAGTCCAGTCATTGTTTTCGAATTAACCTTTATCCCTCAATTTTTGGCTTAATTTCTTTTAAATGTTTTTTGTTGAATCCCATTATTAAATTAAGAAAGTATCGTCAATCAAGGTCCAGACATTTTTTTTCTTGAGCTAACTTTACTCCAGAATTTTTGCCAAATTATTTTTTAGTTTGAAAAAATCGAATACTTTTTCATGCTAAAAAATATGGGAGCAAACCGTGGGTTTTGCGGGCTATTTTGTCAAGACTACAATTATGTATAGGTTACGATTTTCTAGTAGATTATTCCGCTTAATAAATTGGAGAACAATAATTTATGGTTAATCATCCAAACTCCCCCAAAATCGAATAAAAAATTCAATTAAAATATTTTTTATTCCTACATATTTGTACAAAAAAATAAGAAAATATTTTTTCATATAACCCTATAAATTATTCTATTCCCTTCTGATTTTGAAGTACTTCATTTACGTGTACCTTTGACATTGGTCCTTGTTGCAGTTTGATTCTAAAAAAATAATAGGGGAAATTATTGTTTTCTAGACTTGAAGGTTATCTATTTTTCAATGATTCTAAGTTTCTTTTCACCCTTCCCCTCTTTTATTTTTCAAATCCTCATTTTCGAAGTGTAAAAAGGGGGCACCTACTCCCATCATTAAATTAAGCTTAGACTACCTGTTTTGCCAAAGCCAAATTAAATCCAACAGTTCTAGACATTTCTTCAAAAACCCAATTAGGAAATTCAAACTGCTTTAAAACATCTCTAGCTGAACCAGATTTTTGTTCGATTCCTTTGGCAATTCCGCGAGCCTGAAATAATTGAAAAAATGAGTGAAAATAATTTTTGGGCAAAATTTAAAATATTTTTGAACGAATAGAACTCGAACCACCATCCCCTTAGTGGGCGAACAGAGAATTTTCCCACTACACCACAACCCAACTTTTCATTAAATATAAAACACCTTCAAAGCAAAACAAAGAAGTATTAATGTAGCAACAGCCGTAGCAAATAAAGTAATAACACAAAACCAAGTAGTTATAATAAATAGAGCAGATAATAATGGAAATTGTAAGCAAGAAGGCATTTTAAATTTTTATAAAAATTTTAATCGAAAGCCTAAAAATTGGGGGAAATTTAAAAAAATTTAAGGGTATGATAATAAAATGTGAAGAGGATGGGAAAATTTAATAATGAAAAACAGATAAACATGCTTTTATATTAAAAAAGTATGAAGAAAAGTTGAAAACTATCCTTTTTTATTTTCAGACCGGAAAAATTTCAAGACTTACATAAGACAAAGGAAAAAATAAATTTGAGAGTTTATAACCAAAAATTAAAAGTTCAGGGCTAAATCTAGTGTTCAATTGAGGTTAAGTTGTGCTACTACCAAAAGTACCGTAGCAGAACTATACGTGGTGTGCGGACATATCGGGACGGACATGTCGGGATTGGGGTGACAAAAATAATTTCTTGCGTGTTTACATTTGTTCTAAAACATAAAAACTTTATTTCTCAACAGGACAATATACTACCAAGACCCAGTGGCTGTAGGTCCCGAAATCGGTAGGGTAACTGTTCGTACGTTGAAATATTCCGATATGTCCGTCACGATATGTCCGCGTGCCCTATACGTACCTTAGCGGTAATTCTGAAATTTTCTGTAAAGACTAATGCCTTCTCTTTTTCCTTTTTAGATAGTTTAACCCCCGCCTAAGCGTTTTAAATGCTGCTAGGTGAATCATCCTTACATAATTTAATTTATAATATTTTTTTGTAAAATTTTGAATAGCACTGTGACTTTTAATGAGTCCTCCTGGAAAATTTTCCCTTTCTAGAGCTTTCAACTGATATTAATTTCACTTGGATCATATCAAGTCTAAAAAGATTATAGTTGAATAAAACTTATTGGCTGCACTTAACCTTAACTTTATTGAATAATTAATTACATAATTGGCATTTAAATATTTTTTAAAAAATATTTTTTTATTAAAGAAATATTAAATACATCTGGCAATTATTTAAGAAAAAAGTTTTTTAGAAAATGTAAACAAAAATTATGTACTAAGTATAAACATACTTTTATAAGCTTAAATAAATTCTTTAAAAATTTTTTGAATTAAGTTCTTGAATTTTTAAAACATCTGTTGTTTATAAAAAGTTAATTTTTTACAGTTCTTTTTCCTTTCAATTAGAAAATTATTTTAATTTAATTAAAACATTTTCAAAAATATTTCAATAGTAAAGCAGCTGGGTTATAGCTATGTATTCTCTCCTTTAGCTAGTGCAAAAGGTTAATCGGCGGCTGGGAGCGAACCAGCATCTTCAGTAGACCGGACTGATGTGTTAGCCATTACACCACGCCGCCTACTACATAGACTTAGGAATGAAGAAATTATAACATCCCTTATCGTTTTGTTGTTACTTATACTTCCTGCGGCCCAAATGATTCGAAATTTTTATTTTTGTAGAATTTTTCAAACATTTCTAGTATGAGAACCCAGAGGGGTGTTATAATTTCTTAACGGGCTTTAGCTATATGCTTTACACAATCTAAATTATGTAGTACTTTTCGGTGCCGGTTCTATTACGTTGTTTTAATATAATAAGCTTTGCAAAAACATCGAACTGTTCGATAAACAAGTTTTGATGAGAAAAACATTACGTGTTGTGATTGTAAACAAAACTTTAAACATCAAAACTTGTTTTATACTTATAAACATATAGAGAAACAAATGTTTTTCTGAAAAGATTAAACTTGTTTTGCACACAAACATGTTTATATAAACAATAAATTGTTTTATGAACAAAACATGAATTTACGAACAAAACACGAATAAATAATAATTAAAAGAAACATTCTTTTCTTTATTTAAGAAGAAAAAATGTTAATAGGAGAAATATATTCAACAATAATTTATTGTTTTGCTACATTTGGATTGTTTTCTAATTTGTTTTTAATTTGGCTAATTTTACGTTATACAATGAAAGAAATGCAAGTTTATAGCAAAATACTTTTACAAACTTGTTTTGTTGATATTGTTGGGATTTGTATGTTTGTTGTTTCTCAACCGGTAAATAAATATTTGGAGTATTCGGAGAATGGAAGGAAAGAATTTGATAAAACACCTCAGGACCGTATTATTAAAAAGACAAGTGACAGAGGGTGAAAAGGCGGGTCTAATCCGGTAATTTGACAATAGTCAGGTAACTCCAAGCTAATGTAAAACGGCACTAGTTGAAAAGATATTTTGAATAGTTTCATTTAACTCTTTAAAATTTGTAAATTTATGCCTGGTTAATATTCAAATTATAGGCCTCTAAACAATTTTCTATTTAACTTTTCTTTAAAAAGGTTTATATTTCTGATAATGGCACGGGTACAGCTTGGAGTTATGGACCTGTACATTACTTACCAAATCCTTGGCAATTTGTTCTCCTTCGTATAAATTATTTTATGGCAAGAGTTACTTCAATGAATGTCTGTACATTATTTATTTATCGTTATTTTACTGTTGTACGGTAACGTTGTTATCAAGGCTTTTAAAATATAACCTTTCTATATAGCAGTGTTAATGTTAAATTTAAACACCAATTATTATTACTTATTGGGATGACAATTCCAATATTAATTCTAAATATTTGTTCAAGTTTATCAAACTATCCAACACCAGAAAACGAATATTTAACTAATTATGAGTTGGCAAAAATATTAGAATTGGATAATTATACAATTGAAAATTATGTTGTTGGACTAAGGACCGGAGTAAATTAATTTCAAAAATTTTTTATATAAAATTTTAGACCAGCAATCTATCAATTTTTACTTCAAATTATGCTTCAGCATTAACAATAATTAATTATATAATAATTATTTTTTGTGGAATAAGTATTCAAATACATGTTTATCGTCACTGTAAAGGTGTACAAATGACTCAATTACGTAATATGAATAAACAATTAAGTATCGTTTTGGGGGCACAGGTTGTTAAACAATTATGGAAAATTATAAAGGAAAAATTTTATTCTTATACTCTTTAAAGTTTACTCAGAAAAATTTTGTTTTTGGAAAAAGTTTCTTTGTTGTAATTGTAGCCATATTTAATACCTCTTAAATGGTTATACACTTGAACAGAAAAAAATTTCTTTTTCACTAGGAAAATTTCTAATAAATAACCTAACGAAAATTTGCGCGGATGGGGTGTGTTTTTTAAACCCATTCCCAGCTCACATCCATTGTTCAAACTCACACCCATCTCGATGAAGAAAGTGAGTTTAAAATCAGATTTTTTGCTATTCTTCATCAAATGCTAGGGAAGGTCAGAATTTTTTCATATTTTTATTTTATTGCGTTTTCATAAAAAATTAAACTTCTTTTTCGATAAGTTATCTACATATTATAAATTTTCCAAGTAAAATAAAAATTTTTCGTTGGAAAAGTTTATAACCATTTATAAGTGGCCATTAAATAGGCTCAAAAATACACAGCAATAAATAAGGCTAAAATAAGTTTTTAACTTTAAAACAAGAAAAGAAAAATTCCCCCAATATAAATATCCGCCATTATACATATCCGGGATGTCATAGGCTAACCGAAAACCGAACCAAAAAAATCAGTCACGACTTTTTTCTCAACCCATGACATCACTGACATACATTTGCTGTACTAGATGTTTCTCTGTAATCTCTATAAATTTGCAGGCTATTCTGCCTTTATTACCTTACCTCTCCAATTTATTCGTCAATTTCAATTTCTTATTTAATTTGCCTGGTTTATATTCATCATCTATTGCAATATTCCTTAATTCTAGTTTGGGATCTTTAATTGCTGTTTTAAATCCTATTGTGAGTTTATTTACAGTACAATCAGACTTCAATAAATACCTCTATTTAGTGGAAAAATGAGTTTTTAAAATCTAGGAGTTGATTAGACGAGTCTAAATAAATTTTTAAAAATTGTATTTAAAATTGAAAGTATATGTAAATTTAGGTTATATAAATTAGTTGTTAAACTTTATTTTAAAAATTAAAAAAAATAAATTTAAAAGGTAACAATTTTGAGTGTAAGAAATTATAGACAAATAATTTTTCGATGCAAAAATAATTCAAATATTAATCAAGTTGCTCCGATGCCAGAAACTTCAATGCCGGATAGAACTATACAATATATTAAATAATTAAATTTTATATAAAAAATGTTATTTCTTGATTTTAAACTTTCGATAAAATTTTTAAAAATATTTTTTAACAAAGTAACAAGTATATATAGGAAACAAAGAATAAATACAATAAAAAAATCCAATCATTTATCGAATTTACATGTTTTTTTATTTTAATATTTCAATTTCCGCCCATTTTTGTTTTTGCCACATTTCTTCTTTATGTTTATTTTATTCCCAACAATTTAGAAAATTTGTTAGTACCAAAATATTCTCCAAATTTTATAAATTAATTTGATTAATTTTTCCTAATATTCAAGCAAAATTTTTTGGACCAAAAGTTGTCCGATTTAAATGCGGTGTGTTTGATATGCATGATGTTTATGTCATTCGATGTTTTTACTTATTGTTTTTCTTTCAATCTTTTGTATTAAATTCTCCGGGAGTTATGTTTTTCATTAATCTATAGTTTAGATGTAATTCCCAAAGTGTAATAACATATATTATTAAAAAATAAGTATTTATTAAAAAAATTATATTTCACTAGTTTATGAGATCAATGAAAAATTTTTAGTCTTATGGATGCTTGTGATTTTTAGAAGTACCAGACTTGACGGATTAGGCTATATTCTTCTTTCCTTCTCCAATAAATAAATGTTTTCAACTTATCTGTGTATCAGAGTTGCCTTAATTCCCTGAGATGTACCATAGGGTCTGGAAGATTTACAAACCTCCCTCCTAAAAATCCGGTCTTTAATAATTACATATAATTGGAAAAAGTATAAAATAATAGATAAAATTACAGACAAAAATATTTTATCAGAAAAACAAATCCCTAAAGTATGACCTCATTCAACATTAAATTATTTTAATAAAAACAATTTGTGAGAATATTTTTAAATTATAGTTAGGTGGGCACTATATAGACAAAATAATTTTTAATTAAATAAAAGTAAAAAGTGTGGGATAATTAAAAAAATTTTTTGTTTAATTTTAATTTTCTTAGAATTAAATAAAGTTGTGTTTGGTATAAACAATTTAAACAAAGTTTAGTAAATATTTTCGTAAATTAATTAGTAAAACAGAAAAACAATTTGTAGAAAATTCTTTAAGAAGAAAAATGTTAATAGGAGAACTATATTCAACAATAATTTATTGTTTTGCTACATTTGGATTGTTTTCTAATTTATTTTTAATTTGGCTAATTTTACGTTATACAATGAAAGAAATGCAAGTTTATAGCAAAATACTTTTACAAACTTGTTTTGTTGATATTGTTGGGATTTGTATGTTTGTTGTTTCTCAACCGGTAAATAAATATTTGGGCGCGGGAATGTTTTGGCGTGATTGACTATAACTTTTAATGAAGAATTAATTTTCTCGTTTAAAAATAGGTTACAATTAATAAAATAAAAATTTTTTTTATTAATAAAGGTCTATATTTCTGATAAGGGTGTTGGTACAGCTTGGAATTACGGACCTATACATTTCTTACCAAACCCCTGGCAACACTTTCTTCTCAACTTCTGTTTTTTTATGGCGAGAGTTACCTCAATGAATGTATCTACATTATTTATTTATCGTTATTTTGCTGTTGTACGGTATATATTATGGTAATATTCAATTTCGTTCCCCCCCCTTTTTTTCCATCCTCAAAGTATTAAAAAATGGTCAGTCTGACTTAAGTTATAGAACTCGTCGAGCTGTGTCGAATGACACCAAAATCAAAAAAATCCGACTTGATTTGACCGAAATACAGACCCCTGAAAATTGAACAACCATATGGGCGAAAAACCATAAAGACGAAAATTTATACAAATGATAGCTCATTTGAAAGAGCTCGTCGAGCTGAGTCGAATTACACCAAAATCAGCGCGATTGGACAAAATTTGACAAAGTTATTACATAAGTCGTCGACTCCGTTAGGTCTACACTTGATGTCATAACTTTGTCAAACCATGTCCAGTCACGTCGTTTTCGGTGTCATTCGACTCAACTCGACGAGCTCTTTCGAATGAGCTATCATTTGCATAAAAAATTTTTATTCTAAAAAATCACCCCTATGGTTGTTCAATTTTCAGGGGTCTGTATTTCGGTCAAATCAAGTCGGATTTTTTTTGATTTTGGTGTCATTCAACTCAGCTCGACGAGTTCTATAACGTAAGTCAGACTGACCATTTTTTAATACTTTGAGGATCTAAAAAAAGGGGGGGGGGAACGAAATTGAATATTACCTATATTATTGTAAGGTTTAAGTTAAAACTGTTTTTTAGTGGAGTTGATGTAAAATTTAAACACCAATTACTGTTAATTATTGGCATAATAATTCCAATATTCAAATCAAATCAAATCAAATCAAATTTATACGCAACAGCGCGACGATTTCAGACAATAAAATGTGATAAATAAATAAAATAAACGTAAACAAACGATTTCCTTAACATAATTTAAAAATTGCAAAAGTGTCTTTTAAGGTGATTTGGGAGTGAGTCAATAAATTGGGATATATCAAAAGTGACTAGGAGTCGACTAAAGTGTTCGGGGGTTGAATTGCGCATATGTTGAGGAATAAATTTATATAACCGAGCAGTCCTAACGAAAAAGGAGTGGAATCTGGCTTTTGTATTACATGCTATAGTTATAATGTTTTGGAACCCCCTGGTATTGGCTTGACTGATAAAATATGAGTTATTGTTTTTGATTGTTATAGTCCCACAAACATGTTGATGGAATAAATTGAGATCGGCTTTAATACGTCTATAAAATAGCGATTCTTGTTTAAAATAATATAGTAAATCATGATATTCAGGTAATTCGGTTTTAGGATTAATACGTCTAAAAACCCAGCGGAGAAAATCCTTTTGGACTTTTTCAATTGATTTAATATCTTTGTCAAGATGTGGATTAAAGACAGACGAGGAGAACTCTAAAATAGGACGGACATAAATATTAAATAGGTTTGTAAGGATTTTTGGATTTCTACTTTTAATAGATTTGAAAATGGAATATGAGCATCTGATTGCTTTACGAGTGATTATATTGATATGCTTATCCCATTTGAGATCGTGAGAGAAATGTATGCCCAGGTCCCGGACTGAATCCTCTGAAGAAATCTGATGGATGACAATGTCATTAATAAAATATTTAGTTGATGGGTTAGAGTTTCCTAAATATAAGACTGAACATTTTTCTATGGCAATTTTAAGGCCGTTAAGATGGCAATACTCTGAGAATTTATTTACAAAAATTTGGAGAGGAGACTCATTAACTCTATTTTTAAAAATATTATAAGCTTTGAGGTCATCAGCAAAAAGTTTCAGAGTTATTCCTGGTGTGGCACAATACGTTGGGAGATCAGATATAAAAGTAATGAATAGTAGCGGCCCTAGTATGGATCCTTGAGGTACACCGCTGGTGCAGTGTTTTTCCTCGGAATAATGATTAGATACCCGCACAGTAAATGTACGATTTGATAAATAATCATTTATCCAAGAAAGAATATTTCCTTGGATTCCCATTTTATAAAGTTTTGAGAGTAGAAGTGAATGAGGAACCGTGTCAAAGGCCTTAGCTAAATCAAAATAAATTGTATCAATGGAATTTTTATTCTCCAAGGCATAAGTGAAGTCATCCATTACTTCGAGTAATTGTGTTGAGACTGAGTGAGATTTACGAAAACTATGCTGACATGGAGGCAAAATTTTATTGGATTCAATAAATGATTGAAGCTCATTTACGATTATTTTTTCAAGTATTTTTGACGAAGAGCAAAGAAGGGAAATTGGTCGAAAATCTATTGGATATTGCGGATTTGTTTTCTTTGGGATTGGATTAATAATAGCTTTTTTCCAAATTGATGGAATTTTGGAGCTGAGAATTGACAGTGAGAAAATATGAGTAAGAGGGATAACGAGTGTATCCCTGCATTTTTTGTAAAAAATGTTTGGAACACCATCAGGAGATGTGTTATTAGAGTTATCGAGCCTTGATATTATATCAAAGACTATTTGTGGGTCAATGGATATTGTTTGTATTGTTTGTATTGGGGATGGGTTTGAGAAAGAAAAGGTTTGGGAAGAGAGGTTTTGATTGGAAAATACAGAAGAGAATTGATCGGCCAAAATATTTGATTTAGTTTGGTTTGAGAAAATGTGTTGATTATTTTGGCCGATAAGAGAGGGCATGGTTAAATTTTTAGGTTTTATGAAAGATGAAATATAATCAATCAAAAGATGAAATATATATTATTTACCTTTTCTTATATATCAAACCAACCAACACCAGAAAACGAATATTTAACGGCAAATGTCCAGTTGGCTGTCTACCTGTCCGCAAATAAAATCTGCTCTTTTCTTTCCTTTTCTTACATTTTTTGCGTTAAGAGAAGTGCACCCCCTCATTTTCAGTTTTCAGCATTTTTCCTTCTCAATACAGTATGTTTTCCTTTTTTTACTTGCAAAATAAATTTTAAAAAATTTAAAAGATAATTAAAAAATATTTTAGAAAATACATATATGCATTTGTTTTATAAATAATTAATATACATACACTGCGTTCCAAAAGTATATGCACCCCTAGTTTTTTGATTTTTTATACATTTTTCTTTGTTATTTTGATTAGATTTTTTGTCTACCTATTCTTCTAGATAAATGTGTATGCTTAAACAAAAAAAAAATAAAATTTCCCCATCCCGTTTCATTTTTATACACATTCATGCAAAAATCCACTGTTCCAAAAGTATATGCA